GTGCGACATATATCCTGGGTCATGACTCTGAATCGACAGTACAGTCTGATGCAAAACGTTAAGACACCACAGATTTCAAGCATCACTCAATGAAATAAAAGGTTGTATTTCAATATGTTGCTATCTACGTCATCGCCAAGGTCACCGCAATGTCCGTGACTCAAAGATAGTTCACCAAAAACTCGCGATCAAGGCCAAGAGTAACATTTCTCATCCAGAAAGTGTGTAAAATGATAAGAACAAAGTCACTTCGCCTCATAACATATCAACAAAGACATAATTTCATCAAAAAACAACTACTCGTTGTTAATAGGCTTTCCTCCTGACTTCAACACAGCAATGCAGCGGGTCTTCATGCTGCGAATACGCTTTTCCAGGTACTCCGGATCCAAGGCATTCCAGTGCATCAGTATCGCATTTTTCAGCGCCTCTGTTGAGGAATACTGTTTACCATTACCATAGACACGTTGGCAAAGGTACCCCCACACGTTCTCAATTGGATTGATATCAGGGGAAAGCGCAGGCCACTCCATCGTGATGATCCCATTCTCGTTAAGAAACTCGGCAGTCTCCTTCGACAAGTGAATGGACGCATTGTCATGCTGAAAGACGAACGAATCCATAAAGCCGGCATGGGCTGAGGGAAGCATATAATCCGAAATTGTTGTAATGTATACTGACGAGTCTTGGCGACCTTCCAAGAAGGCCAACTCGGTTTTGCCGTCGGCCAAATTGCGCCCCACACCATGACGGATCCATCACCATTTTGGCGGCTAAAACCAACAATTTATCGCGACCGATGCAATGCCCAAACGACTTGAGTCCATCAGGGCCATCAAGATTCCATTTCTTCTTATCGGAGAAGGTTGCACGACTCCAAGCGTCCCATCCCATGTCAATGTTTCGCTCGCCCATAAAACACGGTTTGTGTTTTGCCTTGAGTTGAGGCTTTTTATTCATCTTGATGTACTCAAAACACAAAACTTGAGTTGAGGCTTTTTATTCATCTTGATGTACTCAAAACGGGTGGATAAGTTTATGACTCGCGAGATTGTCGTACGGTGGACGTCAAGGTCGAGGACGCTCTTAAGTTGTGCGCAACTTCGCGGCGATTTGGTCACAGCAGCGAAATGGTGCCGTAGATCACGGTCACTTAGCTTCGACGGACGGCCACCAGAGAAGCGTTTGCCATAGGCAAGTGGGTCGCGCAAGTAGTTGTAAACGACAGTTCGGCTTCGATTGATAAACTTAGCTGTCTTGGCAACGCTAAGGCCGAATTCAATGCACACATCAATCTTCCCGCACTCAAACTC